TTCCTTTCATGCACATCTATCCTGTAGAAAATCGGGACACAATCCCTTCCTTCCCATTAACACATATTTCTCCTTTCATGCAATTATCTCCTTCCCACTAATCTCTCTTATATGCCTTTCTCATAGTTATCTAGGACCTGCTCATTTTCATTCAATTCAATTTGGACGATGGAGACTTTCGCTGAGATAGAAAGAGACGAAACAAACTGATCACCGCCTTCCCGTCTCCTTCAGAACCATGACAAGGTCCTCCGGTTTTCCCATGTCACCCCATCACGCCGCCTCCGGCCAACCCATGGTGTGCCACTTTCGCGCGCGCGCGCGTGTTACTCATGTGTGCTTCTAGCCGACGAGAATACATCGAGTCTTCATGTACGTAAGTATCCAGCCACCGTAGGAATCAATCAATTCTTCATGTACGTAAGCATCCAGCCACCATAGGAATCAATCGAGGCAGATGCATGTTGTATACGTGCATGCCTTGCCAGCATCCAATCGATCTGCTCCTAGAGCCAGCTTTGCACTACCTCGTTCATGTACTAAACCACTCGATAGGTCGACGGCTAGATCAGCCGTATACGAACAATTATATTGCATATTACATATACTACATAGGCACATACTTTGATGCAATTCTTATTTTATAGAAGGAGAAGAATAGATCACATGAATTCAGTACGCAGGCCAGGTGTAGGTGTCATCCAAGTTTTGTGATTATTCTAAATGCACATCATTTGTAGCTTCTGCTATTCAAACCGCTATACCTTTTCCTTTTTTGAGATGTATCTCTACTCCTAATGGAGGAGTCCGTACGTCGTTCGTTCGTTCGTTTCCTCCCCTCCCATCGATCGAAGGAAGTCGCCAGCCCCACCCCTTGCGCGATCTCCTCCATGTTTCCAGATTTCATTTCTTTTTTCTTACTCTCCAAAAAATCAGAACGCAATCCATCTTTCCTTTCATGCACATCTATCCTGTAGAAAATCAGGACACAATCCCTTCCTTCCCATTAACACATATTTCTCCTTTCATGCAATTATCTCCTTCCCACTAATCTCTCTTATATGTCTTTCTCATAGTTATCTAGGACCTGCTCATTTTCATCCAATTCAATTTGGATGAAGAAGACTTTCGCTGAGATAGAAAGAGACGAAACAAACTGATCACCGCCTTCCCGTCTCCTTCAGAACCATAACAAGGTCCTCTGGTTTTCCCGTGTCACCCCGTCAAGCCGCCTCCGGCCAACCCATGTTGTGCCACTTTCGCGTGCGCGCGCGTGTTACTCATGTGTGCTTCTAGCCGGCGAGAATACATCGAGTCTTCATGTACGTAAGTATCCAGCCACCGTAGGAATCAATCAATTCTTCATGTACGTAAGCATCCAGCCACCGTAGGAATCAATCGAGGCAGATGCATGTTGTATACGTGCACGCCTTGCCAGCATCCAATCGATCTGCTCCTAGAGCCAGCTTTGCACTACCTCGTTCATGTACTAAACCACTCGATAGGTCGACGGCTAGATCAGCCGTATACGAACAATTATATTGCATATTACATATACTACATAGGCACATACTTTGATGCAATTCTTATTTTATAGAAGGAGAAGAATAGATCACATGAATTCAGTACGCAGGCCAGGTGTAGGTGTCATCCAAGTTTTGTGATTATTGTAAATGCACATCATTTGTAGCTTCTGCTATTCAAACCATATTTGACCACTTTTGCTATTTATGTACTCCCTCCATCTCAAAATAAGTGACTCAATTTTATACTAACTTTAGTACAGACGCATGGATGATGTTTGTATATTTTGCCTTCTATATTACTAGGAATGTGTTGGAGCACTCAATGTATTTCATTTGCCGTGGACTAACCACATAAATGGGTGTGCTCAAGAAACAAATTCAGGCAAGCTACATGGGTCTGATATCTATTGTCGTAATCGGCACCTTTCATTATTATTGATATTGTTTTTACCTTGATTGTTTGTTGCTTTGCATTCATATGACTATTTAGGACCATACAAAATATACATAATGGTCGACCAAACAAGGTGTATTCTCCCTATGAGTAGGCTTTTCTCAAGGTTGTTGTTTATTTGAAGGGCGCATATGCTTTTGTGGTGTATTCTCATTGTACCTTGATGAACTTCTTTTTCCATTTTTCGTATGCATAAAGTTTCAGGTTGAATACTCACTCAGACATCCCGCTTTTATGACCTGAAAAATATAAATAATATAATAATGTTAATATGAATAATATAATATATATTTCTATTCATGCACTATATAATATGTTTATATATCTATTCGCAAAAAAATGTTTATATATCATGAATCTATGGAGAAAGTTAGGAAAGAAAGAGGAAAAAGGCAAGTTTGATTTGGTCAAGAGAGATAAACCTTGAGAAAAAAACAGCGAAAAGAAGGAACGTAAGGATTTGTTGCTTTACTTGGCCAACCCTTTTCCATCATAATTTGATCCGAGGTTTCTTAGTAGTATTGGTGAAAGAAATCAAATAGAGTGAAAGCAAGGCTAATTTGCAAATAAAGCAGAAAACTGAAAGAGGAATGAGCTAGGAATGAATAAAGAAAGGGAAACGTTTCTACCCGGTGCGCCGGCCGAAACTTTCGGCCGGTCCCACGCGAGCCACTCAATCGAGGCCATTGTACGCCTGGCGCGAGCCCCTGCCTCCGCCTTATCTTCTTTCTCCAATCCCCTTCTCTCTTAGCCGCATCCACACACGGGGGTTGCCGCGCTCTTGGTCTTCCTCCTTCAGATCCCGTCATTGCCATGGATGCGCCCGTCACCATGCCCGCTCCCTTCGCCATGGCCGCGCGCGATGAGGCCAAGCACCAGGATGCCTCTGACAAGCGAGCGGTGCTACAACCGGCGTCCAAATATGCTACGATCGGTCAGCCATAGTGCTACAATGGGCATAATTTTTTGCTACTACGGACGGTGACCGCGGTGACCACACTTGCAGATGCTGCGAACGCTCTGGATAGATGCTGGAACCGGCATGATTTTATGCTACTACGAGGTGGTGACCGCGGTGACACGCGCCCACAGATGCTGCAACCCACTCTTGTTAGATGTTGAACCGGCAATGAAAAATGTTGGAATTACGGTGTTCATTTGCTGGAACCGGCGAGGTGATTTGCTACAACAGAAGACGCTAATGTTCACGACTTGCACGGCGACTACAACTAGCGGCGACGACCATGATGTTCTTTTGCTACAACTGTGACCATGCTTTGCTACGACTATCATTAAAATCGTTGCCATGACGACGGCCGTGTGTTTGCGACCTGCACGGTGAGCTACAACCGGTAGCAGGCGGCTATAATGTTTTTTTACTACAACTATGTATCTGTTTTGCTTCATCCAGTGATGAAAATGTTGCCACGACGGCCGCCATGATTTTTCCATCAAAGAGATGTCTTCGTTGATGGCGACAATAGACGACGAGCACGACGAACTGGGGGGCGATGGTGGCGACACCGGGGTGGCCGTTAGCCGCGGATGAGCGCGAGGTGGCGTCACGGGTGCGAAGTGGAGGTGGCACGGGCTGGATCCTGTGCGGGAGGAAGGAGGGATGCAGATCTAACGAATCTGATTGCTCCAATCGGACGGCTGCTAGGCGACCGACCCAAATCCAGGCCGGTGCACCGGTGCAGATCAGTGCCCATAAAGAAAAGAGGAAACCCATCAAGCTTCCCATCAACATATCAAGCCTACGATCCCGGACAGAAGGAGTAAATTTGTCTACGTGTGACCAAATCAAACTTTCCATCAACATATCAAGCGAAAAACAAGGGTTTTTACGCTAGGGATTCTATGTCGCCAGCCCATCTTTCGTTCGGATGTGGTCGACTCGAACGACATTGCCTTGATTTCTCATCGACCACAGACACAAAGGTGGCTCCCCCACCATGACTATGTATGAAGTCTCGATTGCCTACACCGGACGCCGGGCTACGTCGCGCGATCTGGCTTATTATCCATCCATGAGCATGCAACATGACGCACTGGCGTCCCGGATGTCGACATGTGATAGAGGCCGCAAAGACCTGGGTTGTTGTATTGACGACAATCGTCGAGGATCGCTAAAGTCATAGCCATTGATAATCTCGCCACCCTTCTCCAGGCAGTAGAGGATATATACCAATATACCAATGACGTCAAAACATAGTTTACGCCACCATGGCCGATGACAATCGGCCTCACGTTACCTCTCTTTAGATATTGTTTCATCCCGTAGGCCGTAGCAACGCACGGGTATTTAGCTAGTACTAGTAACTTGGGGGATATAACAGGAACACAAAAACTGCACATTTAGAGGAGAAAACACCACTGCAAATGGCATGATAGTGGACATCAGACGAGATCTAAGATATATGGCGTTTGACGGATGCAAAATGCCTTGATACCCCTTTCAGGGATCTGACATGAAAGACCGGCCTTGGGCACTGTTTCCGGCGTTTTTCCTTTCTCTCTGGACCTTTTCCTTGATATTCGGAGTGTGCCTTTTCTGAGGGAAATGTTACAAATCCAAGGCCAGTTTTTAAGCATGGCAAATTGAACTTTTCTATGACAAATTATGTTGTCGCGAGTATGATTTGTCATGCGTGCTAAAATACATTGTCATCAAAAATCTGCCGTTCGATTCGTAGCGAAATCTTTTACTTCAATTTGTCCCTGCTTAATACAATGAAGCCAGCGACTGCTCGATCTTAAAAAAGAAAAAGAAATACTGTTCGCGCCGCTATCTAGAACAGAACCCAGCAGACTTGCAACTTTGCCTTCACAAGAATTGCACTAACCCCCAAAAAAAAAACCTCCATCGAAGGGTACACAAAGTGGACAAGAAATGCAAGAACAGTTCCCGTTAGAAAGATAATTACAGATGAGCAATTTTGAGAAAGCCAAAAAGAACGTAGGTGACTTCGGTTTAGACAATTACTCCAGAGAGACGGTGGCAATGCGAAACCGACGTGTCAAACCAGTGAACCGGAGGTGTCCTGCTCCGGCGCCGGCGCGTGGTTCTGGCTGCCCCTCGCGAAGTTGCCGCTCCACGTGGACGTGGACGTCACGACCGTGCTCGACGTCGATCCCGCCGTCGTGGACATGGTGTCGAATCCTCCGTCCGTCGCCGGCCACACGAACGACGGCTTGAACGGCGGCACGGCCGGCGTCGGCATGGAGCGCAGCAGGATCTGCGAGATGGCCTGCGCCTTGGGCCGCTCGGCGGGCGTCGGGTGGCTGCAGGCCAGGCCCAGCATGAGCAGGCGCTCGGCGTCGTCCTCGTCGAAGGCGCCGTCGAGGCCGGGGTCGACGGCGTCGAGCGCGCGGCCGTCGCGGTGGAGGCGCCACACCCAGTCGACCAGGAAGTGGAAGCCGTCGATGTCGCAGCGCGGGCGGCGGCCGCAGACGACCTCGAGGATGACGGCGCCGAAGGCGTAGACGTCGGACTCGCGGGTGGCCTTCTCGGTGTGGAAGCACTCGGGGGCGATGTAGCCGACGGTGCCGTGCACGCCGCCGCCGGCCTCCTCCGTGTAGGAGGTCTTGTCCGTCTCGATGGCGCGGGCGAGGCCGAAGTCGCCGAGGCGCGCGGTGAAGGCGGCGTCGAGCATGATGTTGGAGGCCTTGAGGTCGCGGTGCACCACCCGCTGGTCGAACTGGTCGTGCAGGTAGTGCAGCGCCGACGCCACGCCCTGGACGATGCCGTACCGGAGCTCCCACCCCAGCGGCTGCCCCGGCCGCGACCCCGGCGCCGAGCTGACCAGGTGCTGGTCCAGGCTGCCGTTGGACATGTACTCGTACACCAGCAGCAGCTCGCCGTTGTCGTGGCTCCACCCTGCACCGTCCGTCCACCCATGTTAATTAATTAGTCTACTACTTACTCTTCATCTCTCACTCGCTAATCTTTTTGTTGTGCAGTGAGAATGTTGGACGAAATGTTTTAGATCATCAGATTCTTGTTAAAATCTTGGACAAAGGAATATATAGATCTTTTATTTTTATTCTTTATTATGAAGCGAATAGATAGATCATGATGGGCATTGCTTGTAATGAGGTGTATCCATGAAACCATCCAGTGCTTTTCTTTTCGAAAAAAATGAAACCATCCAGTGTGATAATTGAGCAAGATGTTCTTTTTACTTAAAAAAGGGGCAAGATGAGATTGTTAATTAGGGCATGTACAATAGTGGCATATGGATACATATGCCCCATGACAAAAAGTAATTTGAGGCATCTACATTTATTTATTTTTTCAATGCAAGCTACTATTAGTGAGCCTCGTTAAGAAATAGAAAATAAAGACTCTCATACACATGCATCTCTACTTTCACTCCAACCTTTTCAGCTTTTGTCACCAGACCACATTTTTTCTTTTCAAGCACCCGCCTCCTGAAAAGGATCCCGCTTCCCTATCCAAACCTACTTTACGTCATATCCGATCCTACATGATATACGAGGCATCACCTTGAGCCTATGCATTATACATGCACTTAAGCATAATACAGACTGGGAAAGCTTTGGTTGGTCTGCGTTTGACGCCATGAACGCATTCAAGCTGTAAAGTTCAACTAAAGTGAAGGGTCAAAGCATTGTTGTGCAAGTGTGCACATGCATCAAGCTCCTAGGAAACCGAGCAAACCCGGTTCAAATTGGCCTTTGTTAATGGCGACACGAATTGGCCTTTGTTAACGGCGACACCCCATGTGCAAGAATCACGTGCCGGAAAAACGATAAGCGAATAAAGAAATCATGTGCAAGAATCAAGTTGTAAACCGCGTTGCGGCGGCGGCCGGAGGGGGAAGGGGGGAGGGCTTACCGACGAGGCGGACGAGGTGCTTGTGGCGGAGGCGGTTGATGATGCTGAGCTCGGCGAGGAAGTCGTTCTGCCCCTGCGTGCTCGCCCGCGAGAACTTCTTCACCGCCACCTCCACCGCGGTCCCCGCGGCGGCCGGGTTGCTGTGGTCGTCGGCCACCGTGCCGCGGTACACCACCCCGTACCCGCCCTGCCCCAGCTTCATCCGCTCGTCGAAGTTGTTGGTCGCCCTCCGCAGCTCCCGGTAGTCGAACTCCCGCGGCCCGCCGGCGAGGCTCCGGATCATCGTCCCGGTGATGGCGCTCCCCTGGTCGCGGCCCAGCTTCCGCCGCCTCACCACGCACACGTAGTACCCCAATGCGGCGGCGGCGCCCAGCGCGAGCACCCCGACGGGCACCCCGACGGCGAGCCCCAGAATGAGGCCCCTGTTGTTGCTCGGCTCGTCCAGCTTCTCCACCGTCATGTTCCACGCTAGGACGCAGTTGAGCTGGTACTTGGTGCCCGTCGACGCGGCGAACCCGAGGTAGGACCTCTCGGCCACGGTGGCCCCGAGGTCCAGCGGCGCGGCGAGCACCGGAGACGCGGGCTTGGCCGCCTCGAAGTCGGCCATGTACACCGTGATGTGGCGGGCGCTGCCGTTGTAGTCGATCCAGACGTTGTACTTGGCGGTCTTGACCGGCGAGATCTCGATGCCGCGGGGCGTGAGCGAGGCGTTGGCGACGGAGACGACGCTGTTGACGTTGAGGCCGACGTGGTTGTCGTCCGGGTCGTAGGGCTGCTTCTCGGTGTCGAGCTCGACGGCGACGACCTGGTTGGCGGCGCTGCCGTCGGTCGTCGCGTTGGTGAGGCCGAGGAACCCGCCGTAGCTGCCGGCGGGCGGCTCGCCCGCGGACGGCGCGATGAGGAACGCGAACCCCTCCGCCGGGTCCGCGCCCGACGGGCGGAAGACGTTGACGGTGAACACGGTGCGGAACGACGCGACCTTCTTGCCGCCGGCGCTGGCATTGCCCTTGCCGCCGCCCTTCTCGAGGCGCCAGAGCCTGACCGGGGCGTAGTAGAGGACGCGGCCGGACTTGTTGGTGAGGAAGTGGGCGGCCTCGTTGCCCGTGTCCGGCGTGATCTGGAGCGCGCCCTTGGTGATGTCGGCGTCGCCGACCACCGTCAGGTTTTTGCCGCGGTACTCGGGGTGGAAGTTGGAGAAGCTGAACTCGGTGACGCTCCCCGCATCCAGAATATCCAGCGAGCCGCCATCGGCGGTGGCGTTGGTGGCGAGCGAGGTGGTGGAGCCCGAGCTGGAGGAGGCCAGGACGAGGAGCGACAGTAGTACGAGGAAACGCACGGCCATTAATGGTGAGCCAAGAAAGAGGCCGAGACGAGACGACCTCAACAGCGTTCGCGCCCGTGCGTTTCCTTCAACTGGACGCCGTGCAGTGCACTGCCCGAGCCGCGTCCGTATTTCTACCCCGCGAGATCAGATTCTGCCGCCGCCGGTTTGGATGAATGGGAGAAAGGCGAAAGTCACAGGGAGAAAGGGTTCTCTCGCGGTCGCAAAGCCACGTTCACACAGGTGTCGCCTTGCGGAGGAGAAGCAGAGAGGAAGGCGCCGGCGGCTTCCTGGCTTATCTCCTGCCCGAATTTCCCTGCGTCGCTTTTCCGTAATCTTTGTGAGAAGTCTGTAGTAATCGGAGTGGAGATCTCATTGGACGGAGTGATAGCAATGACGTTTTTGCCATTTCTTGCCTGTTTTGGCAAGTTTGCCGGTGATGTGGTAGTAAATGTACTCCTACTGGCAAGTTGATAGCAATACCATTTTTGCTATTTCTTGCCTGGTTTGGCCGGCGTGCTGGTGGTGTGGTAGTAAATGTACACCTACGAGCATCTACAGCCGGATTTGGCAAATTAAACCTCTCAAACGCCCACGGACGCGGTCGAAAGTCGCTGACAACTATGCTTGCGCTGGAGCTTGACATTTAGCGCCATGCTGATTCGCAACTTCGGGTCGAAGCTCAGCTCGGCCGAATTATACAGCAAGACAAGAAGCAAGCTTCTGTTTAGGGCCGTGCGATCGGTGTAGAGCGCTGTTTTTCAGAATTTTGGACTTGTTTTTCGGGAACTTTGGGCTGTGGTGCTACTACTGGTAGTAGTATAATGCTTAACCGGAACAAACTCTACGGCATCAGACCCTCTCTCTCATTGGTTCTCAAGAAGGAGAATGTGCTCTCACACGAGGAACGAAGGTGATGCTCCTTGTACTCTAGCAGTATCACTAGTATACTGCTTAGCCGGAATAAACTTGAGCACTCTGCGGCACCAAACCCTCTGCTCATTGGTTATGAGCAAGGAGGTTTGTGCTCCTCTGACCAAAGGGACGAAGGTGGATGTGGATTACCCGGCCGTCTTCACCAACCTTCAATACAGTACGGTACCACCACCCATCATTGTTTGTTTCTTTCTTTGTTCATTCGACGGCATATCGCTGTCTGCTGCTGTACGTGAAACGGAACAAGAATGGGACGGCAGAAGGTGTTGTTCACGGACGGGTGGCCGCCGAACGGAGGGGCCTGACCACGGGTCAACTGAAGACCGGACGAGGGTTTTCTTGCACCAATCCTGACGCACTGACATGACGCATGCCACCAAACGTATATGAGTCCTTCATATTTTGTCGTGTGTGTGGCACAGCTCGAGTAGAGATCCCGAGGAAACCCATCTGGAAAAGCAGTGCTACACACACACACGGACGACAGCTCTGCACACGATTTGTGAAGATGGATCAACTCATCCATTATATTAGACCATTACGAAAATCGGCACAGGTGAAGACATGCATCGTTCGGATTTCGTCCGTACACTGTCGTGTGCGGAGCAGTTTCGCAACTAGAATAGTAACAAGGATTCGGATGGGAGAAGAATTAGAACAACTCCAACGCGGCGATTCAAACAAACGGTGATTTTGTTCGCTTTTGTTCGTTTGGGTCGGTTCGGCGGACATACGTATCTGCTTTCGCGTTTGGATCGGTGCATGCGTCCAACGCTGACCCGACTCATTTTTTAGTCACACGAAAAAATAGAACACAAATACTTTGAAAATAGAAAAACATTAATGCCGGCCACAAAGGCCGGCGAGAGTCCACGCATCCACATTTATATTAACTAAAACATTAATTAAACCTAAACTACAACAAGGCGCGCTGCCCTAGGCGTCCTTGTCGTCGACGTCGGGGGTGGTGAGGTCGACCAATGTCGGCGCCAGACCGGCCCATGGGAACGCCGTATTCCAGACTCTGGCGATGTCGTCTGTCGAGGGCTGTGCCGTTGCTAGCTGGGCATGGCGCGCCTCCTCCTCGGTCTCGCGGCGCTTCTCCTCGGCATTGCGCTCCAGCTGCTTGAGGTACTCGCCCTCGCGGCGCTTGAGGGAATCCTAAATTAAGGGGTCCTCGCGCGTCCGGACTATGTAATATGGGTCAGACTAATGGGCTATGAAGATACACGATAGAAGACTTCCTCCCGTGTCTGGATGGGACTCTACTTTGCGTGGATGGCAAGCTTGGCGTTCGGATATGTAGATTCCTTCCTTTGTAAACCGACTTTGTACAACCCTAGGCCCCTCCGATGTCTATATAAATCGGAGGGTTTAGTCCGTAGAGGCAATCACAATCATACAAGCTAGACATCTAGGGTTTAGTCATTATGATCTCGTGGTAGATCAACTTTTGTAATCCTCATATTTATCAAGATCAATCAAGCAGGAAGTAGGGTATTACCTTCATAAAGAGGGCCCGAACCTGGGTAAACATCGTGTCCCCTGTCTCCTCTTACCATCGACCCTATACGCACAGTTCAGGACCCCCTACCCGAGATCCGTCGGTTTTGACACCGACATTGGTGCCTTCATTGAGAGTTCCGCTACGTCGTCACTAGAAGGTTCGATGGCTCCATCAATCATCTACAACAATGCTGCCCTGGGGGAGGTTTTCCTCCCCGATCAGATCTTTGTGTTCGGTGGCTTCGCACTGCGGGCCAACTCGCTTGGCCATCTAGAACAGATCGACAGCTACGCCCCAGGTCACCAAGTTAGTTTCGGAAATCTGGACTATGTCACTGATATCCGAGGAGACTTGATCTTCCAAGGGTTCACGACCCCTACCTCCGCTCTGGCCTTAGATCAGGAGCGCATCACCAGGTCCGAAGACGGGATTACTGAGCCCGCCGGACTATCTGCGGCCACTAAGCCCAACACGGGAGAATCGGAGGAAGTAGTGCCGTTGGCAACCATCAGGAAGCCGGACTCTTCTCCGGAAACTAGCTCTGAACCCTCGGAGTCAGCATCGTCTGAGCCCGGCCAAGGAATTTCCCTCCCACCGTACTCCACGGGTTTCCTTCCCCCTGGTCAAACCTTGCCTTTAAGTGAGGCTCTGGACTTGATGCGATCCCTCGTCATTATAGAGAAGCAATGTCCGAACTACGCCCAGCCCGGACTAGGGGCTGAAAGCGGGGAATTTTACGTCCCACCCACCACCCACTTCATAGCCACTGTGGAGGACTTAACTGACATGCTCGACTACGGCTCCGAAGACATCGACGGTATGGACGACGATGCTGGAGAGTAGCAGGCCGAAAACCCGCTGAAAGTGCGTTATATCGACTAGAGGGGGGGTGAATAGGCGATTTTTAGGGAAGTCTTCAAAACATGTAAGTTTTGAAGACAAACGATAGAACTGAACCTATTACCATGCAGTGGAAGGTAGACTACACTAGGCAGACCATAGTCAAGTATTCAATGAAGTGAAAGCACAATGACTAATAGCTGCTAGGCAGTAAAGATCAGATACACAGTGAAGGCAAATGGATAAAGCAGATAGGCACTGACGTCACAAGAGCCAACTGTAAATAAAGAGATGGAAAGGATAGAACCAGTGTGTGTGTGAAGACAAAGGTTTGGTAGACCAGTTCCAACTGCGGTGACAGTTGTACGTCTAGTTAGGGCGGATAGGTATATTTAAACCTGAGGACACACAGTCCCGGACACCTAGTCCTGAACACGCAGCTCGGGACACTTAGTCCTCACCGTATTCCCCTTGAGCTAGTGTCACACAGACCTCGCCCAATCACTCCGGTAAGTCTTCAAGGTAGACTTCCAAACCTTCACAGACTTCGTTCACCGGCGATCCACAATGACTCTTGGATGCTCAGAACGCGACGCCTAGCCGGCTGGAGGATTCACAGTCCTCAAGTGTAATAAGTCTTTAGATCACACAGACAAGAATACTTAAGTGATGCCTAACACTCTTTGGCTCTGGGTGTTTAGGGCTTTATCCTCTCAAGGAATTCTCTCTCAAAGGCTTCGAGGTGGGTTGCTCTCAAATGACAAAAGCCGTACTTTAACTCAGAGCAGCCAACCGTTCATGGTTGTAGGGGGTGGGCTATTTATAGCCACTAGGCAACCCGACCTGATTTGTCCGAAATGACCCTGAGTCACTAAGGAACTGACACGTGTTCCAATGGTCAGATTTCAAACACACATGGCAACTTTACTTGGGCTACAAGCAAAGCTGACTTGTCCAACTCTGAACAAGATTCGCTTTCATAGTCTTCACTCGAAGACATAGGATTTTGGTTAAGCATCACTTCAGTTATTCTGACTGGTTCTCTTGGACCCCACTTAACAGTACGGTGGTTCTTATGACTCAACAAAGAAGAAAAAGAACTACGAAAGATCTAAGTCTTCGCGCTCCATAGTCTTCATGCAATGTCTTCTCTTGCCATAGTCTTCAATATGAATGTCTTCACATACCACCTTTGACTTCAATGTCTTCATACATTTTTAGGGGTCGTCTCTGGTAGGAAAACCGAATCAATGAGGGACTTCTACCTGTGTTATCCTGCAATTCTCACAAACACATTAGTCCCTCAACTAGGTTTGTCGTCAATACTCCAAAACCAACTAGGGGTAGCACTAGATGCACTTACAATCTCCCCCTTTTTGGTGATTGATGACAAACTAGTTGAAGTTTTCAACAGGGAATATAATATGTGAAATTTGTAAAGGATAAGGAATTGTCTTCATAAGTTGCAAGGGCTGCCCCTGAAGATGTGCATATAAGTAATTTTCTTTTGGAATGCAAATGCACATGGCAGGTTGTACTTGTGGAGATCCTCTTCAACTTATGATGACAATTCATTATGCATGAAAAGTATGTGGAGATAATGACATGCATAATGAAAAATGGACGTCTGCAAAATGATCTAAGTGCGGAGTTTATCGTCGCACATGCGGAATTTATCATCGCATCACAGAATAGCAAATAAGTAGCAGACGACCATCGAGTTTAAGTGTTACAACTC